AAATCATGGCTAAGCCCATTCTTCAATTATCATTAGAGATGTGGCAAGAATAAAAGAATAATGATGAACCAGTCCTCTGATAATGGGTGAAAAGACATTCTAGATCTCAACCAAAACCAGTTCAGCCTTTTTTGTGGCAATTTTAAGGGTCTTTGAAGCTATATGTATTGCAGAGTTATGAAGAAATTAATTTGCATTTTGCCTGGGCCACTCATAATAAACTTAGCAGAGTAGGCAAAATATAGGACAATTATAGGAAGGAGAACAAATATGGAATCAATCTTGCAGCAGGAGCCTTGAAATTATGAACCAGCAATGAAACAATCTGAAGAGAGAAAAATCTGTAAAGATTTAGAGAAATCATAAGCAACAAGAAGAGATTTATGAATCTTAAGCCCTGCCAAGTCCAAAGTCCTCTTCCCACCACATTAGGATTTCAAAATTATTAGATGGAATAAATGTTATAGAAAGTTGCCCCACATTTTGGGAAAGCAATTCTTAATGAATGTAGGAAAGAATTTTAGTAATTTTGAAGTCCAGAAGGGAGCTTTGAGAGTATCTAGTTCATTTGTCTAATGTAACAGATAAAGAGAGGCCCAGGGAGAAGAAGGGCTTGTCCTAGTTCACCTCCCTTTCCATGCAAGGTCATTTCTACTATGAAGCACTCTGCTATTGTTCACACACAGGAATAACAACTCTGAACTGAAAGTTTGGATAATAAGCATAAGGAAAAAATAAACTTCAGATGTCTAGTAGATATAAAAATTCCAAAGATTACAATGTATAAAAGGGATACTAAGCTGAAATGCTATCTGTGGATGTGGGTTCATGACGTGTGAATTTGGTCACAGCGTGAAACACAGAGAACTCATTCAGTCTGGGGTACTGTTAAACCAGGAGGGACGTAACCAAGGTGAGCTTTCTAGGGAAATGATGCCTACATGGCCTTTATTGAGGACGTCTTTTATTCTTCCACAATTATGTAGGTAAAATAGAACCCCAAGAGGGTGAAAACCAGAGCTCCATCCAATCCTAAAATTCTGGGAAATATCTTTTTTGCCACTTAGTCATAATTTTTTTAACCTTGTGTTATGGAAAATAACAAGCATATACCAAAGCAGGCAGAATAGGATTAATAAGCCTCATGCATCCCTCACTCAGCAACAACAGTATCAATTCCTGACCAATCACCTTTCATCAATACCTCTACCTACTTCCTTCCTTACATTTTGAAGCTAGTCTCAGCTATCATATAAGTATCTCAATATGCATTTCTAAAGGATAGGTACTCAAAAATAAAATGACAATCAAAATGCAATAGCTATACCTAAGAAAATTGGCCATAATTATATTATAAAATGCCTAGGATTCAATTTTGAATTTATTTCATGATACCTTTTAAGAGTTTGCTTAAATTGCCATCCAAATAAAGGTCATCATATCTGTTTAGTCTCTTTCTAACTTAGTTTCTTCCTCCATTCACCCTGCAATTTGTTTTTTGGATACCTGGTTGTTTAACTAGAATTTCTAATAGTCTCTGTTTTACTGATTGTGTATCAGTGTGCCCTCTATTTGAAGGTGGTATCTAGCTTGATCTCTGTATTTCAGAGTGGTTCGGCCTAGAGCTGAGTTGCCCATAAAGTAGCCACGAGGCATATGTAGCTATTAAAATTAAATGGTTAATTGCTCATACTAGCCATCAAAAAGTCTCAGTAGCCACAGGTGGCTAGTGACTACAGTGTGGGAATAGTGCAAATAAAGAACATTTTCACCATTCCAGAAGTTTCTATTGGACAACTCTATGCTAGAGCTTTAGTAAAATTCTATTAGGTAGCTTTGAAGCGAAGTAGATGTTAAGATCTCTACCAAGTCCTTGGCAAACAGGTTTTTTCCTCAATATAGTCACTTTAAACCTCCACAGTTGGACATTGAAGATGAAATAAGAATTCAAGGGATTGGTCTGTGAGTTTTTAAATTCATGTTAATGATATACTTACAAAGACTTGGAATTTGCTTTTTCACTCAACTATTTTAGATTTAACCATGTTCCTGAATATCTTTGTAGTATATCTATTTAAAGAGATACATCAAATTGCATTGTTTGAATGAATCACAATTGATTCATTACCTTTTAATTAAACATTTGTATTGTACTCACTTTTCTGTATATGCACTGAGCTTCAAATGACGTCCTTTATGTCTTTTGCATCACGTTACAAATGAGCAAAGGAGGCAGTCTTGACATGGAATTGTTGGGCATTGAATCTGTACATCTTCAACTTTTACAGCTACAGCACCATGGCTATAAAAAGTAATTATGCTCTACCAACAATCCCAGTTCCTTACATCACTGCTAATGTTAGGTAGTTTTAGACTTAATTTTTACTAGTTATGTATTCACATATATGAAATAAATGAAATAAAATAAAATTGCCAGCGTGTGATAGAAAGGGAGCGGGAACACAGACTCAGCTCAATCTATAATGTTGTCTTTCTTTAAGAAAAAAAAAATAACCTAACACAGCACCAGGCTTAGTGGTGCACACCTGTACTCTCAACACACGGGGCTGAGTCAGGATTGTGAGTTCAAGGACAGTCTGGCTAAATAGTGAGTTCAAGGGCAACCTGGGTTACATAGAGAGATCCTCTCTCAAAAAATAAAATACAATAAAATAATAAATGAAGCAAATAGAATAAAACATTTATACTCATTAAATGTGAATGGAGGTGAAAAAAGTCACATAATTTTTAGTACTTACTGTTTGGTGAGTTTACATTGTCAGAATTAATTTTGATTTCATAAGCATTTTTAATGCAAGGACAAAAATTATGTGGCATATCAGAAATTTTTAAACATGAGGTTATCTATTAAGTTTTTAGGTTTAGTTTGGTTTTTTATTTTTTTAATTTTTGGCATTTCATTCTAAAAAGAAGAGGGACAATATAGTGTCCTCAAAATAATCTCCAGCTCATGGAGTATTTCAATCACACTTCACTCATGAACTATGTAGACAAAACAAATGACTTATGTTTGATAGGAAGCCTGCTCACTCCTACTGTCATTATATTTGCAGCAGTCACTTTAAAAATTCCAAACTAGAACTCCTTTTAAAGGATGTGCTATAAGGCAGCAATCATTAGTCTGATTTGTCAGCACAGAAACAACTTTTAAGTCCTGTCCATGAAGAAGGCACCATGCTAGGCCCTGTAAGTGACACAAAGCCAGACAAGAATGGGTCCCTGCATCTGAGAACTAATAATTGAGCAACCTTTTCTTTTTACCAGACTAACTACAAAAGTTTTATTTTTATAGTCAGAAGCTCGCTCTGGCTTTGTTCTATTTTGATCTTTATAACTTATTTTAAAGATCGCTCAGTAGTCATTCATTGCTCAGTCAGTCTGGCTGACCTTTGGCCAAAAGCGGTAGCAGTTTGACCTGGCCTATGGAACTCAGCGCTTCCCACTCCGTGAAGCTAGTGGCATAAATAACTTCAAATAAAACCCTCCTGGAGATCTGTGATGGCCACAGCATGGGGGAGAAGTGGGACGACGGGAAAGAATGAAGTGGGAGTACCCAAGAACAAGTGAGAGTGGTGTCCACGTTTTAAGTATTTTTTTTCCTTCTCTCCCTTAAGATATTTATTCTCGCTACTGGTAAGTTAAAAAAAAAGGGAGGATGCAACAAACCAAGATGTTAAAAATTAAATACTTCCCTTTTAGACCTAGGTCTCATAAGTGGCCTTTTTTGGCGATGCGCATTTAGGAAAAATCACAACAGCAAAGAATTCAGTGAGGACACACACTCCTTAAATTTACAGATTGCCGCAAGGGGTGGCCAGCGTGGAGGAGAGCACTGTGCCCGTGTGGGTCCACACGTACATGTGAATGCGTTTGCGCGCACACACACACGCATGTGCCTGTGCTCAAACAATAAAAGGAGAAAGAACGATCTAAAAGGGCGAAAGGCCGGTTACGTCTTGAAGCCATTCACACTTTATGATGTCTGAACTTCAAAACTAAGCAGTTCTGAAGGCCATTTAGTGGCACAGTACAGGACTTCCTGAGAAGTTGGGCTCATAAAATAGAGGCGCATCTGGCCACCAGCACATGAAAAGAGCTCTTTGCAAGCAGCGTTTCAGCACGGGGAGTGTAAATGATTCAGAAACACCTGGCCGATATTTCCCTTGAGGTTCCCAGAGGGTAAACTGGTTAAGAAGGATTCTGTTAATTGGACATCACCAGGCAACTTGACAACTCCAGAGCATTGGGGGGAAATGTTGAGAGACTGTGCCATCCCAACTAGAGTGTTCAGGAAATAACCCCCGTCATGAGAGGAGGAGGGTTAGGACAAAATAGTTCCCTTACATATTCCAGCATCAACAAAAAAAAGGCATAGTCTAATGCTAAGTCAAATTGGATCAAGTGTCAAAGGGATGAATTAAAAATGATAAGAAAAATAATGGGAAATTTGTACTTTGGCTCTGCAGTTGCCCCAGAACAAGTGTGAACCTCAGTTTCCACATATTTAAAGTGGGGATAATGGTATTTTACTTAACTTTGAGGATTGAGATAACATAAACAGAAATGCTTTGCACATATAAACGAATGTTCAACCAATGTTTATTTTTACTATTTTTGGTTTAATAAATAAAGAGAAAATAAAAAGTACTAGATACTGAGTCACATCTGTGGCTGTATTTTTTTTTCTTTTTTATCAGCATAAATTAACTGTACAAGGGATTTCATTATGTTTCCATACGTGCATATAATGGACTTTGATCAATTCCCTCTATTACTCTTTCTTATAATAAGATAACTGTTTTTGGCAATACTGAGGATTGAACCAGGGACCTTGAGTAATGGTAGGCAAGTAAGCGTTCTATAATTTAGCCCTCAATTCTTACAGCCAGATATAACGTCAGTTATGGGAGGGGTGGAAATCCCGAGGTTTAGACAGCTTGGATTTGGTGCTCACTTTCTCCTCTCTCCCCCTCCTACAGCCAGCTCCTCCCTGAAGAAGCGATTCAAGCGTCGGGAGATCGAAGCCATCCAGTGCGAGGTGCGGAAGATGTGCAACTACACGAAGATCTTGTCCACTAAGAAGAACCTGGACCACGTGAACAAGATCCTGAAGGCCAAGCGGCTGCAGAGACAATCAAAGACAGGCAACAACTTCGTCAAGAAGAGGCGTGGGCGTCCCCGAAAGCAGCCCACCCAGTTCGATGAGGACTCCAGAGACCAAATGCCAGTGCTGGAAAAATGCATCGACCTGCCCAGCAAACGGGGCCAGAAGCCCAGCCTGAGTCCCCTCGTGCTGGAGCCGGCCACCAGCCAGGACACCATCATGGCCACCATCGAGGCTGTCATCCACATGGCCCGGGAGGCGCCGCCCCTGCCCCCGCCGCCGCCCCCTCCTCTGCCGCCGCCGCCGCCCCCGCCCCCGCCGCCGCCCCCTCTTCTGCCCAAGACCCCCAGAGGCGGGAAGAGGAAACACAAACCTCAGCCTCCCGCGCAGCCCCCGCAGCAGCCGCCCCCGCAGGCGCAGCCCCTACCCCAGGAAGAGGAGGTGAAGGCTAAAAGGCCCAGGAAATCCCGAGGCAGCGAGAGTGATGCCCTTCCCTAGGGCGGGTCTGGGCGTCTGAACCTGGGGCGGGGGACTGAAATGTTGCAAGTGCAGTGAACGGGGTGGGGGCGGCTCCCCCACTGCAAGGGACACCGCTGCCCTTCTCTCCGGAGGCTGGGCAGGCAGGATCAGGCCAGATGACCGGGTTGAGCCATCTATCAGGAGCTCTTGGGATAGCAAAGCAAGGGGGACGCCTCCAAATGCAGCTTGTCTGTGCCATACAGCTGTTCCCAACCTAGCAGCACTTCAGTGTGGCTGGGTCCTTCCCAGGCAGCAGAAGATCCACCGAGGAGTGAGGGGCAAGAAGCTGGTGCTCTGACAGGCCACCTAACATCCCCTGCTCCCATCCAAGGTGCACCCTTGATTCTGATTTTATTTGCTGACCAGAAAAATCGAAAGGGAAACACCCCCTCCATTAGGAACCAATCCAAGGGGAGTAAAGCTGCGAATTTGTCAACTGGCTTTGTTATAACCCAATTTTACTTATTTGGTTCTTATTTCTTTTTGGTTTGCAAGCTCTGCTAGGCTTTGGGGCACCGACATCATCTTTCAGGTGACCTGAATCTTTCCGTTAACAATACAGTTTCTCAGATGGAATCCTAGGATCGGAAGGTGGAATGGTAGTGATAGGCGACCTTTGACCTGCATTCATATTCTTCTGTATGCCGCCTGTATCTCACACACACTGAGTTTTGCATCCTCTGTACCTGCTTTTCCTTTGTCCATTGTATGTCCATGTACACTTTCCTTACCTTGCTGCCTTCTTTTTCTTGGTACACATCTAAATAATGTAAATCTTTCCTGTGTTATAAAAGTTCACCCTTGGCACACTCTCCCGAGCAACGTGGCTTTGAATCCCAATCATTGTGAAAAAACTACTCAGTATTGATAGAGCCTTTTAAATAAGTGACTCAGCGCAGCCAAGGGATATGTTGACCCAAGTGTAACCAGGTTATTTTTATACTTAAAACATATCAATGGAGAATGGCAGGATAAAATGGTTTTAATACCCCACAGCAAATGGATTAACTAACAAGCCGCCCAAAATTAAAAAACCCAGATCCAACAGAAGAAAAATGTCTTAGCAATGTCTTGGTATGTGATTTTGTTTTCATACAAAGAGCTGTCATAGGTTGTTGAGAAAAGGAAACAAAAAGACAGTACAAAAAGTCCATTATCTCTTGATAATTATTTCTTAAAAGCAAATGGGAGCAAGTGTTCTTATCTAAAAAATAAAAATAAATGTTCAAAGGGTATCACCACTCCAATTGTATCAAGCCACCTTGGACAAAGTATCCAAATTGTGGTTGCCTTAATACACTAAAACATTTTTGTACATAATGTAATTATAAATCTATCAGTCTGCATGGATGCAAACTGTGTGTGACAAATCGTCTTTTAAATGGTCAATTTCAACTGTACATTTCTCATCCAAGTTGTACACTAGCCATTGGTTTAGCGTGGACAGATATTCCATCTCTATTACCCATTTCCACAGCCCAAGTAAAACATGTTAAGACTCAGAATGAATATAAAGTTATCCCATTGCAGTAGATGTTTCTTAAAAGTCAAATGTGGAAATTTCAAAAAGTATTTTTAATTTTCTCCCTTACTCCTCCCCTTACCTTCCCCAAGCCATCAAATACCTGGCATGGTAGATTATAGAAAGAGACACAGAGAGAATTAAATATTCTAATGGGAATTAGAATCCTGGTTTACCTCCAAATTAAGTTTTTTTACGGGAAGTTGAGACCAGCAGCAACTGTATTATCACGTGGGAGCACAATATTATTTCCTTAGAGAAAGATGGATCTTTGTTGGGAACATAAGAGAGTAAGTGATGAGTCGTCTATGAGAGCAAATGTTAAAATCTCAAGTTAATATGCTTGCAAACATTGCTGCTGTGTCGTGGCACCAACAGTTGGTTGAAATTACCTACAGAGCCATCTCCTTGTGTGCTGTCGCAATGGACTGCACACCATTTGCCGCCCACTAGGTCAGTTGCATTTAATCCTAGCAATATGTAAGTTTAAAGGATTATACTTTAAAGCTTATATCCTAGATACTCAGTCTGTGACCTGCGTTGACCTTTGGCATTTCACACAAGTTGAACAGCAAAATCAAACCAGCCATTTTCAATCTGTCATTCCTGAGCCATGTCTGAGTGGTTCCAAAGTCACCAGAGAGGAAGGTTTAAATTAGCCCCTCTCACCCTACCAGTGCTATGAAATAGTAGCCATTTTCATTCCAATTAAGCCATAAAGAGGTTTCTCTTCCTGTTGGATTTAAAAAATCATTTCCTTCATTCTTTCTTTTTCACCCTTTGTCCTTCCAGTTCTGTACAGCCTCCCAACCAAGTCTGTAAGCAGACTAAATCTTGCAGAAAAGAGCAAGCTGGTGCTTGGTAAACTTCTTAGAGGAAGTCCCAAAGTTTAATTGGCATTAACCTCTAATAGGTGAGAGATACCAAATAACTTTGGGATACATTAGCATTTCTGAACCAGTGAAAGATATTCCAGGACAGAGACAGCAGAGTTGAAGCTCACACATGAATTCGATTCTGTGGTTGGCCTGTATGTGAAGTGCAAATGCAAATCCTCCACATGAAATCCCTGAGGATACTTTGGCAAACTGCAAAAGAACCAAAGCTGAAGCATGCTAAACAGCAGCCTGGAGATGAGAGTAAGTTCAGTTAGCCATGCAATGATGCACCACCACCCAGTGACTTTCTCAATGTCACATTACTCTTTTTCTTCTGCCTTTGTAAACCTAACTCATCTCATCCATACAACCATTTCCTCCTTTTCTCACTGCCCCTCCTTCCTTAGTTTCTCCTCTCCTACCCAGGCTCCCCATCGGACCAACCAAGTTTCACATCTAGTTGGTTACAGAGCCAGGAAGAGAACCCCCAGCTTGTTTGACCTGGAATATGGAAGTCTTGAGCCACCCAACATGGCCTTCTGGGTCTGCATTTTTATTTTGAGATGGGGTTATTTGGGAGGTACAAGACTCCATTTATATCTTCTCAAAATATTTTATAGTAAGAAAAACCCTTAATTTTTTTTTTTCTGGAAAGCTCTCCATCAAGCAAGTATCCCACTTGTAGTACAAGGGATCCAATTAGAAATAAGAAGAGGATGAAACCTAGACAAAATCTCCTTGAAGGTGTTACTGGATCTTTAATCCACTGTATTAAGTGGCTAGGATGTCACTTGCTTTGCAACCCCTTCTCTCAAATGAGAGGAACAGAGTTTTACTTCCTGAAATAGACTAGCTCTGGGTACAACCCAAGGAAGAAAGGTCAAAGGGAAAGAGAGCATACAGGGTTGCTCTGTGACTTGGCAGGCCCAGAACTCAGCAGTCACTGACAGCCCAAAGAAGGTGACTAAGGGCTGGCAGAGATTATCATGTTAACTTGGCTGCTGTCTGGAGTGGAGGCCATGTTCAATGGCAGTCAGAATTTGTGTCTGCACATTGCTGAGTCTATAAATATGATAAGCAAGTGGTGACAGAATTATAGTATAAGATGATGCATTACATGCAGATCATAAAGGATTTGGTGTTAGGACTTAAGTAGAAAATCCCACTCCTAGCTTATTACTCAACAATATTCAGATAATGAGCTTTTGAAGAATTTTGTCCCCTATCACTAGGAAGATTTACCTGGGAACTGTCTAAAATCTATACATACATTTCCAAAGCCTTTAAATGCCAACTGTAGCAAGGAGGGGGTGGTGGCAGGAGCTAAAATGCCTCAAAAGCCATTTAAGTGTTCCATTGCAGGATTTTCGGTACTACTCATTATGTAAAAGTAGATAAATATAGACATTTTTCTTGACACTACCCTATCATATCATAATGGTCCAAATGCCAGAGCTTACAGATAATGTCATCACAGTGCCTAGAAACTCAAACTGTAATATACCGTAGCATTTTCTTGGTGTTTCTTAAAGTTTCTTTCCACAATACAAGGCTCCCTCTGCCTCTTGTTTCTTGGAGCGTTCACCCCCAGAGGAGTCTGCATTCCCTGTTGGACTCAGTCACTTGGGGAACAGTCTTAGAAGCACATATTAACCAAGGAAGAAACTTCCTGGATACCTATTGCCCACTTGCCCAGGTATAATAAACACTAAAGGGGGGAAAATTGAGACGAGCTGCCAACTGGTCAACTTGAAAGGGCAGTTTCACCTTAGAGTGGTGTCTTTCTTTTTCTTCCTTTTCTAAAAAAAAAATCTATTTCTTAAATAATAATAAATGCACATGATGTGTTAAATATGTACATATATATTTCAAAAGGAAAAAATGGGGCACAAGATTGTCTTACAAGTCGTGCTGGCTAATTTTTAGTTTGTATTCATAAGTGGTTTTTAAAAGCCTTTTTAAAAGTGTAATTTGCATGTTCTACTTTGATTGTATGTAAACATATTTTAGAACAAAAAATGTATTTGTATTTTATTGAATATAGAGGCAAGAAAATTGTACATTGTTTGAAATGTTCTTTTTGTAACAGTTTTTATTCATAAAGCATTTTTGTACATTTAAAATGAACATGGACTTGCTGTCATTTGAGGCGTAGCTACATCTGGCATGCTTTACTGTCATGCTCCTCCATGGTCTTAGATGTTGGGTTTTAAACATTTTTTTCTAAAAGAAAGCTCAGTCTTTTTCGCTACCAGATCAGGTTAGCACAGTATAGAGCACTTAACTATTAAAAAAAAAAAGTTAATCCTATTCATATGTTATTCATTGTGTGAAATTAAAGACATTCAATTCAGTCTAACATGAGTTGTGAATTCTTTTGTTTTATTTTCCATCTGGTTCACATCACTATGCAGTTTAATAGCATTTGGGGGTCTTTGCTCACACCAACTGGATACAGAATCATTGACAAAATTCTAACCAAACTTCTGTCTTGTATGATGTGGGGAAGTACATTGTGGGCAAGATTTGAGTGATTTGCTGGGTCTGTGTTCAGAGAACAATGAACATGTACAGAGAGCATGTCCACTGAACTACTTGGACATCCAGCCATGACTGAATCATAGGACTATCATACCCTTGATGACGACAATGAAAAACCATTAATGAAAAAGCATTAATGAAAAGGTAAGATGTTAAAAACCCATCTTATCTTAAATTCTCAGAAGAATTTAAGATGGATGGAGATTTAAGTTTGCTTCCAAAATATCCCATGAAGTCATTTATCCAAAGGATGGATCCCTGGCTATGGCTGGACTTCAAGTTTTGCTGGAGCACTAGGAAGGAAGGGTTAGTTGATAAACCAGTTACTGACAACTCACCCAGTGTCTACACTGAGCATCCTTGCTCTGAAGGACCTTAAACATTTATATTCAATCAATGAACTAGCACTTTAAACAGAATATGCCAAAGGATAAAAGGGTGACACGGTCTCAGAGGAAGAGAGGAGCCCTCCACTTCTTTCTTCCTTCTCTTCCCACATTTCCTGTTCAGTTTTTAGTTTCTATTTAAAAGCCTGCTTTAAAATATAATTTGCACGTTATAATTTGTGTTAAACACATACATTTATGTGTTTTTTTTGCAGTCTTTCTCTTCTAAGGTGTCTCTTCCCAAAGCCAACAAGATAGGTAGGAAATGTTAGGAGGAACTCCTCAGCTTTAACCTTCAATGTAAAATTCATTATGACCTTCAGTGTCTGTGGCATGCACAGTAGAGTAACACGTCAAGTGGAATGGGTAGGTGTCTTCAGAAGTAGACTCGCAGGGCAGCCTCTAGATAATGGAGCCTTGCACCTTTGGTGGTCTCCTAAGAGTAGAGGATTTCCTCAGCAAACCCAAATGATTGATTATGCCCTCTTTCTTCTCTTATCTCCTATCTTGTGCTGAACCAGGAAAAATTTAAAGAACTATATAGTCCATTTTCTCACTCAGACTCATCAGACTGTTAATATTTCTGAAAGCAGCAGTGCCTTCTGAGTGTCCCTAATCTCTTCCTACCAGCTTTTTTGAGTGAGGACAAAGCTGTTGCCTTCAATTGGATTGGCTCAACTTCAGTTTTAAACCTGCCCATTGAGTAGCAATATGCTGACAAAGGGAGTGTCAGTATATAAATAGATGGGGGAAGAACTATACATTTTTCTAATTTTTGTGCAGTTCAATTGTATTAATTTTTAAGATCCCATTCCACCAGCCTAGCAAAATCTGAGTTCCAGTCCCATGGAACTATTTTTCCAAATTGGAGGGGAAGGAAGTAAAGGTCCAAGAAAGCTTTACTCCAACTTCCTTCTAAATTGTTTCTCTAGGCCAGGTTCTATTTCCTTAGTTTCTGAGCATTTCAAACTCAAAATTCAGAAAGAAAGATTTTTAATTTTTTTTTCTTTTGCTTGTGCTGTCAGATATGTGCCCAGAGGGGATGAGCACCAACCAGCCTAGCTGCCTATATTGAGAGAAGAATGGAGGCATCAGCAATCTGTTATGACTTCAAAAACCTGTCAGGCATAGGCAGGGAGTGGGAACAATGAGATGTACAGAACTAAAGGATTAATATGAGGTCATAAAAGGCTCTTATAGCTTAGTCAGGCTAATGAATGGGTATGGAAAGGATTGGTGAGGTGGGAAAGAAAGTATGCCAAAGTGTTGTACAGTTCTATTATTACTATTACTAACATTTTGACTTTCATGGGAAATGTCGATATTGCTTGTAATTATTATTGAAGTGGCAATACACTTTCCTGTCATGAAAGCTTTCAATTTCCAGGATGAATTAAAGGAAAAATTGGTTCCAAAGTGTTATTCACATTAACATATGGTAAAATTGGGAAGTCACAAATAAGAAATGTTAGAAACCACACATATTCTCTCAATATTAAGCTTGATATTTTAAAGCTTCATTCTCTTCTTTTCAGCACATATAGTAGTGAAATAAGAATCAAGAGACCTGGGATGTGTTCCTGTTTGGTTGCTAAAGAGCTCTGTCCCCAGGAGCAAAATACATTCCTACTTTATAAAGTAGGAAGCTTAACTCTGTGATGTCTGTAGCACTCTCCAAGTCTAACTCTCTCTGATTCTGTCATCTTTCCTTCTCAACAGGCCTACCTTTAATTTTCAACTTTATCTCCTACCCCAAGTGCATCCTGAGGTTGCTGCTTCAGCGCCTATCCTGTCCCAAGCCAAGTGAATGTGAAGGTGTGGATGAAATTACAGAACACTCACAAAATGAGATACATAATCAAGTCTCTTCCATTCCTTCTTTCCTTCCTTTCTTCCCTAACACAGTACCAGTTACCAAGGATGTAAGGAAAAGCAAGAATGACAAAGCTTCACCGAGTTATATTCAAGCAAACCTACCTACATCATGAATACTCTCTCTCCATTCTGTGTATCCACATTCTACTCATCTTTAAGGCTTAATCCAAACTTTACCTCTTGCAGGATGTCTCGTGACCATAGCTCACAAGCATGTCTTGTACCACTCATTTACTAACTGCCTTTAATAATTACTCGGGACAGTCAGAGCTGCCATGTAAATTTGCAAAGGTTGTTCATTCCACAGGGGACCTCGCTGAAAAAGAAAATGGAGGTTGAAACTCAGCCTCTGGTGTCTGCTTCAAGGGGGCATCTTTTTCTCCTTCTCATAAAAAAGCTCTTGTGAGAACAGAACCTTATAAAGAAATCAAGATCTACTGTATACCCCTGAAAAATAGAGTTAGCACATTACCTCGGCCTCTTCCCACTCAGACCATCCAGGCTGCTCTTGCCCCTGAAAGCTCCGATGCTAATTACATACACCACTCATTTTAGTCAGCAATGTTCCGTACTCCAGAAGTCCTCTCAATTCATCCCCCAAATAAACAATTGCCCTGTCTTTTTTCTAGGAGAGGTGGGGGAAGAAAAGCAGTGAAACCAGACAACAGAAAGGTTCAGTGGCATATCCTTGATAATATAATTCACTAAGCTTGTTGACATTGGATGTCTCAGGAGAGCTTCAATCTCAGCTACTAGGGAGGTGGAGGCAGGAGGATCACAAGTTTGAGGCTAGGCAGGGCAAAGGTAGTGAAAGCCTGTCTCAAAAGCAAAATAAAAGCAAAAAAGCTGGGGTCATGGTTAGCCTAGCATGTTAGAGGATTTGGGTTCAATCTATTGTATCTCAAGAAAAAAAAAAAACTTTCCAATTTTCCGAAGACCTTTGGAATTTTTATTTTGAAATAATTATAGATTCCTAAGAGGTTGCTAAGGAATATTGGCGGAAGTATTGTACAGCCCCTCCCAACTGTTCGGCCTCATGCCAGCACCCCACACAACCACGGGATAACATCCACGGCGTGAAACTGACATGGCACCCGGTGTCGTGTATAACTCACTTCCGTGTGTGTCTGTGGATTTGTGCAATTCTTTCACATGTATGGCCTTGTGTAACTGCCACCACAGTGAAGATGTTCAGTTATACCATCACCACAAAGACGTCCCTATGCAAGCCCCCTTCTTACCCTCATCATCCCAAACCTCTGACAACCACGAATGTGTGCTCCCTCCTCAGAATTTTGCTACTTCAAGAATGTTACACAAATGAAATCATGTGATACATAGTGATACATATCCTTTTTAAAATAAAGTCTATTTTTAGAACTGTTTTTAGATTTAGAAAAAGCCATGAATATTTACAGATAGTTTCCATGAACCCAGAGCACAGTTTCCCTTACTATTACATCTTACAACAGTGTTACATTTGTTAAAATTAATTAAGCAATATCATTATACTTTTATGAAAATCCACACTTTATTCAGGAGTCCTTAGTTTTTAGCCAGCTCAGGATAAACTGGATGTTGGTGGCTCAAACCTGTAATCCTAGCTTCTCAGGAGGCAGAGATCAGGAGGATTGCAGTTGAAAGCCAGCCTAGGCAAATAGTTCTTGAGACCCTATCTCCAAAAAGCCCATCACAAAAAAAAAATTGCTGGTGGAGTGGCTTAAGGTGAAGGCCCTGAGTTCAAACCCCCAGTACTGAAAAAAAAAAAAAGAAAGATATTATATTTAATCCTGATGTCTCTAAGTTTCTCTTTGTTATGACAGTTTTTCAGATTTTGTCTGTTTGTGATGGTCTTGACAGCTTTGAAGAGCACTACGTAGGTATTTTGTAGAAATCCCTTAACTGAAACTTATCTAATGTTTTTCTCATGATTACATAGATCACACATTTTGTGGAGGAAGACCACAGAGATAAAATGAGATTCTAGTCAGACCCTATTGAAAGTACCTATTGTCAACACAATGTATCATTGTTGATGTTGACCTTGACCATCTGCTAAGCTAGTAAAGGTCTTCTTTTCTTGCCTTTCTCCATAGTAATTCTTTGGAAGAAAGTCACTACTTGGAGCCCACATTTAAGGAGTGTGAAGTTATGCTCCACCCCCTCAAGTATCTACATAAATTATCTGGAACTCTTGTGCAGAGGACGTTTCTCTGTTTTGACTCTTGATTTGGAAAGAATTTCAGAATTATAGAAAAGTTGCAAAAACAGTACAGTCTTCTACTTAATGCCTTCCCCCAGCTTCCTGTAATGTCAACATTTTACATAGCTATAGTGCAATCATTAAAACTAAAAAAGTAACTTTTGTCTAATGCTATTAGCCTAACTGCAGACTGGATTTCACCAATGTTTCCAATAATGTCATTTTTAAATTTTAAAAATTACTATAGTAATATATGTATCTTCTTAACTATTTTAACTGTGCAGTTCAGTACTGTTGAGCATATTCACACTGTTGTACAGACAATACTCAGAAGTTTTCCATATTGCAAAGTCA